CTGACTGCCCAGCCTGTCCACTCCCTTCTTCCCCTGCACACTGTGGCACTGCCATCCCTTGGGCTGGCTCTCAGCTGTGGCATCTGGACGCCCTTCCTCACGCCCAGCAGCCCCTCCGTGGGGTTAGGCATTGTCCCTGGGGGCTCCCCCCAGGCCACGGGGGACATGCTCTCCCGGAGCCCCCGTGGCACTGTCTCAGCAGGGATCCTCCTATGTGCCACCTGCAGCCACCAGGGGGACCTGGGAAAGATCGATTTTCAGAGCAAGGCAAGGGCTTGGTGCAACCCTCCCGGAAGTCCATGTATGGGGGGACAGCCCTGGCACTTGCTCTGGGAGGGGCCCACTGAGAGGGTCAGGGCCCGGCAGCCACACTGCCCGCTCCCGGGGCCCGTGACTCGAGTTTCCTGGGGCGCACAGTGGGGAATGTCTGGGGAGAGGTTGGTCCCATGGCCTCTCCAGGAATCCAGGCCTGGGCAGAGCTGGGCTGGAGTTGACCCTGTGCCCCCCCAGGCCAGGCTGCCGTCCTCAGCTGAGCTAGGGCGGGGCTGCCACCTGCCCCAATGGGGACCGCTGCGTAGGCAGATGATGGGCAGATGGAGACGGGGCAGTGTCATAGCCCAGCTGTCCAGCCAGCGTCTACAGGACACTGTCTCCCTCTGTGTCCAGTACAGACAGGGGCTATCCCTTCTGCCTGACCAGAGAGGCCAGGGACCACCAAGTGACTCATACCCAACCTAGTCCATCCCTGTACCTGTCTGTCTGTCTGTCTGTCTCCTGTGGCCTTGCTGCCTGGCTCGGGGACAGGTGCCAGCGCTGTAGTTGGAAACGCACCATGCTGCTTGTCAGGACATCCCAGCCCTTGGGCGCATTTCTCTCTCCTGCCCACACAGCCGGCTCCGCTGCCAGGTTCTGTGACTTAGGGCAGCTGTCTGACCCCCTCTGGGCTCCCGAGATGGTAAATGAGGTTCTTAACCTGGGGACCACATATGGCCTTGGGGGGCTCTCAGCTCCCCTAAATCACCTGCACATTGCAGCCTGTGCGGCTGGAAGGAGGAAGCAGCATCTTGGGGGGCCCCCAGCTGCCCACCGAGCCCAGCAGCCCCGTGTGCCCTGGAGTTGCCAGCCTTGCTCCTCAGCCCGTGAGGAGGGCTGGCTCACCATCGGCCCTTCCCCGTCTGTGGCCGCCTTGCCTGGCCTTCCCTCTGGCAGTGGTGGAGACTGAGGCCTGAAGTGGGAGGCTGCCTTGAAAGTGGCGGAGTCGTAGGGGCCAGGGGCTCTTGACTCAGGGTCACTGCTTGCCCCAGGTGGGTCAGGAAGCTGCAGCTCCTCTGAGCAGCCTCCTCTGAGCAGCCTTCCAGGATTGCAGCCGGTGCCGTGGCTGCCCCTCCTACCGTCTGTGGCCGAGGCCATCCTGGCAGGGTGGCGCTGGTGGCTGACACCCCGGTTGCCTCTCCCAGGCCAGCAGCGCCACCTGGTGGCTGCATGCACCCCCCCCCCCCCCCCCCCCCACCCCAGAGATGGCCGTCCAACCGGCATTCCCAGCAGATCAGCTGGAGGGGCCGCGCCAGCCCGGGAGGGGCTCGCTGGAGATCACGGCGCTGGAGAACCGGGGAATCCTGCACCTGAGCCGGAGTCCAGAATGCGCCCCTGAGCTCTGTGCCCTCTGCCCCGTGTGTGCAGGTTCCAGGGGAAGCTCAGAGATTGGGCTCAACCCAGAGGGAGAGGGAGAATGGAGGGGGCTCAGTCACTGTGACCAGTGTGTGTGTGTGTGTGTGTGGTGTGGGGAGCAGATGTCCTTGGGTGGGAGCCCTCAATTATACCCAGCACAGGGCAGGTAGAGGAGACGGCTGAATGAATGAATGAAAATGAATGAATGTGCTGGGCCTTCCTGGGGAACCCTATTTCCTTTATGAACTCAGTTTAATCACCAGCTACTGAGTACTGAGCGCCGTGGGAGACACACACATACATACATGCACCCATATACAGACATACCACTCACACACGTACACGTGTACACATACACATGCACACACATATATGTACATACATGTACACACCACATACATAACACAAACACCTACACATATACACAGTGCACACACACATATACATATACACAACACATACACATGCCAACATGCACACACAACACAGACACATATACACATACATACTAGCGTTTAACTCTTATAACCGAACCTAAAGGTAGAAGGTGTTAATTATCCCCCCTGACAGAAGAGGAAACTGAGGCTGGAGGATGGCACATGCCTTGCTCAAGTTTGGAGAAGCTCGTGTGGCCAAGGGGCCTGGCACGGCTGGGAGCTGCCCCCCTGCCTGGGCTCAGTTCCCAGAGCCTGCGCCCTGGGCTGGGCTGCAGCACCCTCTCTGTGAGCCTCCAGACTTAGGGTCCTGGGAGCGTCCCCCAGACCCTCCCCCTGGCTTTGCTCTGGGGAGGACAGGGTGGAGTGGGAGCTCAGGCCCCTGGACCTCACCCCACGGACTAGAGCAAGACCCTCAGCACCTCCCCCAGCAGGCCACCGGAGGGGCACCTTGGGAGTGGGTGGGGCAGGAAGATCAGCCGGGTCCCGGGACCCCTCCATGAAGTGGGTCCCAAGGCCACCCAGGGCGCACAGGGGTCTGATGCCCTTCACCTCCCAAGGCCCCCAGAGGTGAAGGTCTTTGGGTCCTGGGGCCCTGTGACACGCCGGGGACATGCTGATGTCTTCCTGGGTCCCGATGGTTCAGTGCGGGGCAGGTGACTGAGCCCGGCCCCTTCCTCCCACCCCTACTTCCATCTGGGACCCCCGGCAGGAGCCCCCACTCCGGTGTGTGGAGCCCTGGGAAGGCCTCCCCGGCCTGGGGTGTGACTGGGGACCCCATGCCTTGTGAGGCCGCCTCTCTGCCCAGGACAGCCCACCCCCTCCAGCTGGAGCCCTGGAAGCCGAGGGGCCGCAGGGCGAGGGGGCGGCAGAGCGGGGGCTGGGTTATGAACGCAGGCGGTGCTTCTCCCACCTAAGTCCCCGCCGCTGCTGGTACTGAGGGTTCCACACCACAGGCAGGGGGCCATTCGCTCTAAGCTCTGGTTACAGACCCAGAGAGGGGCAGGGGTGGGCTGGGGTCTCACGGGGACTTGGAGGGACTCCTGCCCGCCAGGCTCCGCTGCCCCTCCTGTGCCACGTCTCGAGCAGGGTGTGGGCTGTCTCGGTCCTGGCACACCTGTGGTGTGGGCAGCAGGCTCCCATTTACAGATGGGGGACTTGAGGTGCGGAGGGCCCCTGAGTCAGCGGATCAGCAGATGAGCTGGGCTGGGATCAGTATGCATGGTCCTGGTGCCTGGGCCTCTGTCCACTCACCCACTGGGCCTCAGTTTCTTCATCTGTAAAACGGGGGTGAAATGTACTGTCCTGCCTGCCCAGGGAGGCTCCAGGGCCCTCGATGTCTGAAAAGCTCCCAGCACCACCACCTCAAGGAGAGGCCCGGCCAGGACAGGGCTGGGAGCCAGGGGGGCAAGGTGAGGGCCAGGAAGGAAGGGCCTCGGGCACCTACTCCACCATGAAGCCCTCCCAGATGCCCCTGCTTGGCTGGTCCCGCTGGGTGTGGTGGAGGGCTCTGGGCTCCCACTGGTCCCAGCTGTGCCGCCAGCTGCAGACTCTCAGGACGCAGGCCTCCCCGGGGGCCTACAGAGAAGATGCTGTGGTGGGAAGCGCTGAGCAGCGACCTCACCTGGAGAAGCAGGACGATGGGGGTGGGTGGTTGGGGGGACAAATGGTGCCGAGTCCCTGAGGGCTCAGCCAGGGACTGAGGGCGCTGGGGGCAGGGGTACAGTCTGGAGGGCACGGCTGGGCCATGCGGTCTGTCCATCAGGCTGGGCCCCGGGGAGCAGCACGGGGGACGAGGAGGGACCCCAGGGATGGACGGTTGGGGCTGGCACTGAGCAGACTGACGGGCGGTGTGCCTGCTGAGACCGAGACACAGAACCGATGGGTCGCACCCAAGGGAGGGTGTGGGGGCTCCTGGAACAGGCTCGGGGAGGGGCTGCCAGTGGCTGACCGGGAGGTCTGGGGAGGCTCCAAGGGGTAGGTGGCCATGTGGAAATGGGGGGACACCCAGGAAACAGCAGGGGCCCGGGCCTGGGAGCAGAGGAGTGTTCGGGGGCCATTGCCCAGGCCTTCACTCCCCCACGCTGCGCCTGGGCGCCCCCCTTTCCGCTGACACTCCGCTGATGACCCCACCTCCCCTGCCCACTGCTTTCCTGGCTCCTGTCAGGGGGTCAGGCCGGTCTGGTGGTGCTAGGCAGCCTTGGACGGGCCCCATCACATCTCTGAGCCTCAGTGTCCTCCTCTGCGAATGGGGGACACAGACCCCTCGGGCGTGGGGCTGGCCCCCAGAGGGTGGAGGCCCTGAGGGGCGAGGGGCCCGGGGCGTCTTCGCACAGTCCTTCTGGCTCCTGTCCCTCCTCGGGGGGACGGGGGAGTGTGAAAAGGCAGGGGCCAAAAGTGTGGGTCTGAACCAAGGCGTCAGCATGGGACATCCATCTCTGATGGGCCCCCACTCCCGCCTCAGGCGTCCCAGGCCCCCAGGAAGCAGAGGCGGGCGCCGTGGTGACATTTCCTGCTATTAATGGAGCTTAATCTAAACAGGCCCTAATGTTTACCTCCAGACGCCTCCGGCCTCCGAGGGTGCCAGACAGCGAGAGTGATGGGCCCGACCAGCCAACGCCCCTCACCCCGCGCTCCTGGGCCAAGGACGGGGGCCGGGCTGGGTTACCCGGAGACCCAGGTTTGAGCCCCCTCCTGGACGCCCAGAGCCTCAGTTTCCCCATCTGTGAAATGGGGGTGACAATCTTGACCTCCCAGGCTTACAGGGAGGTTCAGAGGACAGGAAGCTCAGTGGCACTCTGTAAGCCCACAAGTAGTGCCGTCCTCCCTCCCTCTCCCTCCAGTGTCTGCCAACTGGCCCATCTCCTCCCTCCCCCAGCGGATCATACCTTTGGTGATATCATAGGATGCTGTGGGCATCCTGGCTGCCCTGCCTGTGTCCACGGCCCCTCCTGGGCAGGCAGAGTTGGGACCAGGATGGGGCGAGAACCCATCATCCTGCTGGTCTGTGTCCCTACCCCGGATACTGTGCCCACACCCTGCCCACAAGTCTGCCACTTGCACCCCCACCATCCTCTCCTCCCTTCAGAGTGGGCCAGGCTCAAGGCCCCCATATCTGCCCCCAGGAGTGGTGGTGAAATCCTGAACCTGCCACTACAGCCTTTCCTGTGGAGCCCCCCTCATCCACACGACAGTGAATGGAGTGGGGAGCATGTAGGCTCCCCGCCTGGCTCAGTGCCCATGGCTACCTGCCCGCCAACCAGGGTGCCGAGTCAAGGGCACGAAGGGAATAAACGGATTTAATTCAGGGTGAGAACTTCACGTTAAGGAAACCGTTTACAGCAGACATAAATACACGCCGTCTCACGTCACTCTGGCTGATTGGAAGTCTGGCCCGGGAGGCCTCACACCCTGGCCCCTGTGGGGTTAGGACAGCCCCGGTCTGGCCTCCGGAGGCTCCCGGGCCTCAGTCCTCATGGAGGAGGCCAGAGTGGAAGGGACCCAACTGTCAGGAGGAGGGAGCAAGCGTCTGAGGGAGCCATGGGGGTCCAGACAAGGACACATGGGGTGAACCCCCGCCCCTGGTCCCCTGCCCTTTAGGTGCAGGCCGAGGAGAGGAGCGAGAAGAGTGGAAGGGGGAAACTGAGGCCCGTCTGGCGAGGGTTATGCGTGGGGGGCCATCAGACTGAGTTCTCGGAGATGTGAGGTCGGTCCCCCGTTCCCGCCCCAGCCCCAGGAGACAGGGGGTCACCCTCTGAAGCTTGAGTGCTGGAAGGCTCCCCCTGGGCCCCGGGGGTCCTACACCCTAAGGCTCTCAGTCCCCCAGGAACCAGGCTGGCTGGCGGGATTTCAGACGTGGGCGCCTCCCTGGGTGGGGTCCAGTGAGGTGATGGCGCCACAGAAGGCCGCCGCTTGCCGACCTTAGAGAGGCCTCCTCCTAGAAGGGATTGTTCCAGGAAAACTGCAACCCTCCGCCCCCAAGCACAGCGGTCAGCTAGTGTCAGCCACTCACTCTTTCCTGTGAATTAGAGTGAGACCCTGGAGGAAAGCCTGCAGGTGATGCTGATGCTGGGCGGGGCAGACACCCGACCATGCCCTGCTGCCTCCTCCTCCGCTGTGCCACTGCCTGGGAGGCGCCTCCCCCAAACCCCATGTCTCTCTGCAGGGCCAGCATCACTCTTGCCGTGTGCTTCTCGGCACAGACAGTCCACTCCCGGCTCCCTCCTTTCACAGATCCAGGCCCCTGCTCGCCTCCTGCAGCTCTGGGGCCCTGATGAGCCTGGCCCCCGGCTCTGAGCTGGGGGCGGGGGGCTCCAACACTGTGCCCGGCACTTGGTCAGGGCCATGGATGTCAGTGGTGGTGATGCTGATGACCACACCCACTGCTTCTCCAGCATCTGGGCCAGAAGCAGCCCTGGGCTGGAGGCAGCTCCACCCGACCCTGCCGAGCCAGCCTGGGACTCCCCCAGGCTCCAGGGCCCCAGCAGGGAGGCGTGGGCCGATATCCCCCACCCCAGCTGCCCCACGAGGTCCTGAGGTGAGAGGAGCCAACTCCACTGGCCTCACAGTATCCAGCTACTCACTCTACAACCACGGCAAGACCCTTTCCCTCTCTGAGCCTCAGTTTCCTCATCTGTGATATGGGGATATAAATGGTCTTCCTGTCTCCCATCCAGGCCTCTCTCCGGGGCTCTGAACTTGGGGGACAGGGTACTCTGCCTGGAGCCACTGAGCACGCAGGACCTTTCTCTGTAGACAAAGGGCAAAGCTGGGTCCCAGATTCCATCTCACCTGCTTCAGTGGTTGTGGCCAAGTGTGAGGGCGGAGCTGGTGGATGGAGGTGCCCAGGATGCCCAGAGCTCATCTCCCCACAACAGGCCCCCTCCCCAATACAGCAGCTCAGAAAGGGCTCCTGGGAGCTTGAGGAGAAGGCACGTGGAGGCAGTCCTGGAGTCCAGCCCAGAGGAGGTGATCAGAGGCCCAAGCCAGAGCAATGCTTCCTCCTCAGGAAAGTCAGGGAGACGAGAGGAGCCACACAAGAAGAGCCAGTCCCAGCCTCTCTGCCCCCAAGGGGAGAATGAGGGGTTCTGTGTGGTGGGAGAAGGTGGCCCTAGGCTGGCAGGCCTGGGTTCGAGTTACTGTGTCTCTGTTCTTGGTTTTCTCATCCATAGGACGAAGCCATGAGCCCTGCCGCCCTCCTGGGCAGCAGGCAGGGTCTTCCGAGACCTCTCCTGGAGCGGGGGGCTTGAGTGGTCTCCATGGGGCAGCGCAGGGGCGTTGGAGGCTCCGGGATTTTGATTCTGGGTTTTGATTGGGTTTGATTGGGTTTTGATTCCGGCCCGGCCATCGCCCAGCGGTGGCACCTGGATGTGACCCTCGGCCCTCCTGCACAGCGGATAGGCAGACAATAGCTCTCCTGTGTGGGGTCATTGAGGGGTCCAGCATCAACCTGTTGTCAGTATTCACAGCAAAGCACCATGGGTGTCACACCGTCTTACTGTGCGGCTCATGGAGGCCGGGCTGGGGGTGGGGGAGGGTGGTCCTGCAGAGACTGAACCCCTCCTGCCCACTCACGTGACATTCGTATCCCCCCACATTTCCTCTCTGTCCTTGTTCTCTCTCCTTGGGGAGGGGGAGGGGAAGGGACGGGGCCTCTTCAAGTTGTCTTTTTAGCTCTCTTTAAAATTCCCAGTACCTAAAAAAGTCTTTGTCCCTGTTTATGAGAAATCCCTTCTGGGGCCAAAATGGCCCAGGGGAGAAGCAGCTCCTGGCTACCCCTCTGAGTTTTCAATGGACACAACATACACCCTAGGGATGGCAACTAACTGGCATTCAGACCACCACACCCCCTGCAGAGCCTGCGGCAGACATTGCTAATCAACCACAGCACGCTGGGCTCGGAATCCTTCTCCATGCAGTGCACTGAGCAGCCGTCACCCATCGGTCGAGGCCATCCCAACCTGCCCCTCGGGCAGAGCGGTGGGCTGCAGTCTCTGACCTGGCTCGCCTAGCCCAGTCCTGACCTTCTGACCTTTGGCCCCCTTGCAGAGCCTGCCGACTAGGCCTCAGGCCCATTGGTCAGGGCCTGCGTGAGGGCGCCAGGGCCGGTGCTGAGGATGCGTGGCTGGCCTGAGGCCTTGGAGCTCTTGTGCATGCTGACCGCGTGGCCGATGCTGGGCTCGCCCTCTGCACCACGCCAGCGGAAGAGGCCGCGGACGGTGGCCTGGAAGCTGCTGGTGACGAAACAGTAGACGATGGGGTCCATGCAGCTGTTGAGGCTGCTGAGGGTCACGGCCACGTGGTAGACCACAAGGCTGGCCTGGCGTGGCACGTCGGGCCACAGCGCCACGGCCACCTGGCGGGCGTGGAAGGGCGTGAAGCAGACGAGGAAGATGACCAGCACGGTGAGCAGCAGCTGCATGGCGCGCACGCGGCGCTGGCGGCCCTGGCGCAGCAGGCCCGGCCGTGACAGCGCACACACGATGCGGCCCGTGAACACGCTGATGACCAGCAGCGGCAGCAGGAACTCCAGGACGGTCAGCGCGAAGATGTGGCAGCAGGGCCGGCCCCCGGCCGTCACGCCCAGCACGGACAGGGTCACGGCGCCGGCGGCCAGCCACACCAGGGCGCACACGACCCTGGCGCAGGCAGGCTGGCGCCAGCGGCGGGAGCCGTCAGGCTGCACAATGGCCAGGTAGCGGTCCACGCAGATGCAGGTGAGGAAGAGGATGGAGCAGTGCATGTTGAGGAAGTAGCTGAAGACGTGCGGGAAGGCGCAGCGCAGGCAGCCGCGTGTGCCATAGAAGACGGCAAAGCGCGTGGGCAGCGACAGCCCCACGAGCAGGTCGGTCACCACCAGGTTGATGGTGTAGATGACCGATGGTGTCTTGGCCCGCGTGCGGCAGCAGAAGACGTACAGCGCCAGCCCGTTGAGCACCAGCCCCGCCAGGAAGATGACGCCGTGCACCACCACCAGCGCCAGCCACAGGCCTGGGAAGGCGGCGTGCAGCTCCTCGTCCAGCAGGGCGAACAGGTGGAACAGGGGCACCTCAGGTGCGCTGCTGTTGGCCCACGCCGCTGCCGCCACCGTGGCATTGGGCGCCGCCAGGGCCAAGGGCCCCGCGGTAGACGCAGAGGGCATGATGGGGGCCAGCGCGCACCCCGGGCCTGGAAGGAAGGAGACGGTTACACGGGATTATTGGGGCCCTGCCTGCAGGCTGGACCTGGCTCGTCCGCTCACCTAGCACGTGTGTGGTGTTTGAGCCTGGACTCTGATCCCCGCTCCTCCCTCACTCGCTCTGCAACCTTGGGTGGGTCACATAACCTCTCTGTGGTTAAGTGGTTGGGGTCAAGGAGCTGCTGGGAGGATCAGCTGAGCACAGCAAACTCCAGCACATAGTTATTTCGTGCCGGATAAAGCACAGTTCTGCTTGGACAGAATCTGGCCCACGGTCACCCCACCTCGCTGTCTCCATGCCCATGTGTCACGGCCCCCGTCTTCCAGGCCACCTATCTGTTCTCGCCTCCTTCAAGGCTGGCACCACGTCAATGCCCTGGGTGAGGGTCCTCACTAGGGACCTTGCCCAAGGGGTCGGGATGGGGCCCAAGAACCAGCCCCGCTGGGCACCCCTGTTACCTCCCAGCCCTGAGAGGTGCGCACTGTGTCCGGGAGGCCCGTGCCGAGGGCTCGCCGGGGCGATCCTGGAGCTGTCAGGGCAGCAGCAGGGCGGGTGTGAGTTAAATAAACCCTGCGCTCCTGCCTGGTGGCCCAGACGGGTGGTGGGGCCCGTGGGGGCGGGCTGGGCCGCCCACTCTGTTTATGTTCCTGCTGAGCTGTTTAACTTGCCGAGATTTATCCCTTTATTTATAAATGAAGGGTTAACGGGCCCCCACCCCCGCCTCAGGCCGGACTGATGCTCCAAATAAGGACATTTTTGGCTTTTTCAGGAGAAAGGAGAGGGCTTTGGGGAGAAGCAGGGAGGAGGGCCGGGCTGTGGGACACCCTGGGTGCACAGTGCACCCTCCCCCACCTGCAAGGAGAAGGGAAGGCCCTCCCCCGCTCCCGGTGGCCGATAGAAGTGAGGCCTCTACTGTGAACAGGCCGGACACTGCCCACTCCCCCTGGCCGGCTGCGTGGCCTTGGGCAACAGGCTTCCTCTGGCAGCTTCTACCCTGTGGACCAGGGACACTGAGTCCTGCCTGCTGGGGATCTGGGGGATTGAAAGCCCAGCCTGGCAGGGGTGGGCATGGCTGAGGAGCTCTCCGTAGCAAGGGCTCAGGTCCCAAGCCTGCCTGGAGGGAGGCCCGAGCAGGATGGGCAGCCACTTCCATCCTGAGGGAGATTAGCACCTGCTGGAGGTCACCCAGCTGTGCCTCTGCCGCTGGGACCCCTGCTCTGGGCGTCTGCTGACCCCCAAGGCTGCTGGGAGGAGTCGGGTGCTGCCCAGGCCTGTGCCCACCCCGCTGGCCACCCCCATCACATGCGGGTCCAGGCGTCGGCTCACAGGCTCCTCCGGGCTGGGCTGCCCTCTGCGTGGTACCCCAGCCCCTAACACACAGGGTCAATGAGTATCTGTCTGTCGTGTGGCGGCTTGGGGAGCAGGGAGCCTGAGGGACGTCTAGGGCTGGGGGAGACTTGTGAGCGTGAGGGGGCGGTGAGGGGAGGCGATGGGGCTGGGCTGCGGGGCTGGGAACCTGGGGCCTCCTCCTCTGGGCAGTGGGGGGCCCCAGGAGGCCCCTGGGAAGGAGGAGGTACCTCCCAGCGTGCCCCTCCTCTACTGTGAAGAACCGGGCCTCGACACGTGCCGGAAGGAGCGCTGGGGGCCGGCCCCAGGGACCCACGCAGACTGCTGTTTGGATTCCCTTCTGCATGCTCTTCGGGTTTCCAGTGTGTCTGCACTGGGTCCACATTAGTGTCACAATCAGAGACAAATAATAAACACTATGGAATGTTTCCTCTGGGACAGAGTCCCAGGATGACGCCGGCCCTGGGGATTTTGTCCTCCCAGGAAACTCCCCCGGGCCAGCCTCGTATGCTGGCCAGCAGCTCGCTCAAGGTGCTGGGGGGTCCAGGCCAGGGCTGCAGGGCCTGGGGCCATCAGAGCTGGGGGCTGCGCAGATGCTCAGGACAACCCAGCGGCCAGACAGGAGTGGAGAGAGGAAATCTCTGCAAAGCTCACGCAGATGCTCAGCTCCGAGAGGCTGAACCCGGACCCAACAGAACGGAGCCCTGATATTAGCCACACTCAGCCCCAACCCTGGTCACACGCTGAACCACCAGCCCAGGAACATGATAAACCTTGTTCCCTGTCACACGCTCAGTCTGGACCCTGGTCACACACTGAGCCCTGACCCTGGTCACACTCTGAGCCCTGATCCTGGTCACACTCTGAGCCCTGATCCTGGTCACACACTGAGCCCTGACCCTGGTCACACTCTGAGCCCTGATCCTGGTCACACTCTGAGCCCTGATCCTGGTCACACACTGAGCCCTGATCCTGGTCACACACTGAGCCCTGGTCCTGGTCACACACTGAGCCCTGGTCCTGGCCACAGCCTGGGCCCTCCCCTCTGACTTTCTACACCCACCTCTCCCCTTTTTTCTCTGCTGAGTCTGACGGTCTCTGTGTATATGATAAGACCCCCCCCCCCCCCGCTAAGGTGCCCTTTTCCCCCGTCCCCAGCACACCCTACTCCTCTGCCTCACCTCTCACAGTGACTAATGTCTGATCTAATTCTCCAGTGACCACTCTCTGGGGCATCCACTCATTTCATTTTGAAGGATGAGGAACTCAAGTGGCGGGCTTCCAGAGCCCGTGCTGGCCTGTGTAGATAGTGTCCTGCTGATGGCCTCGAGAAGCCACCATATGCGGCCCTCCCTTCTCTGGGGCAGAGCAGGAGCTGGACTGGGAAGGTGTGGGCTCCCTCCTCCCCACCGCATGGCCTCAGGAAGGTCAGTCCTCCCCGGGACCTTAGTTTCCCCCTTAGTCTCCGCTGCCTCGGCTCCTGCTCCCCCCGGCCCTCTACCGGGGTGGCTCCCCTCCCCCACCCCTAAAGCCGCTTCGGTCAGGTGTGTGCCCTTCTGGCCGGCTCCCTGACCCTCAGCAGGGTGCTCTCGCCCGCCTCCCACGCTCTCGGCCCCTGCGGAGCCCCTGCCGGTCCTCCAGTCTCCTGCGGCTCCTTCTCGCCTCCACCGGGCCCTCCTCGTCTCTCTCCTCCCTCTGTCCACATCCAGGACCCCACACCCTGCCTGCCTACCGTGGCTGGGCCCTCCGTGCTCCCATGGGAAGACGGGGTGCAGGGCCGGTGGGGCTGGCGCAGCTGGCAGGGCCGGGGGTGGTGGGCACTGCAGGGGGCATGTGAACAACAATAACCAGTGGAGGTGGGGGCTTGGGGTGGCCTCTACTCACCACGGGTCACGCCGGGGGCGTTGGTGACCCTCCCTGAGCCTCAGTCTCCTGCCTGTAAGGCGATGTGATGGCAGCTCCCCCGTCCCGCGGTTCAGAGCCCGGTGCTGCAGGTTCCTCCCTCCCGGGCCTCCAGGAAGGCCGGGCCAGGACTCGAACCCAGGTCTGCCCAGGTCCTGGGCCTGAGGGGCGGGTGGGGGCACCTGGCAGGCGGCCCCTTAGGCCAGCGGGCACACGGCGGGACCGCTCCCCATGTGCCCCCCTGCTCAGCCTCTAAATATAGCCCGGAACAAGGGCAAAGGAGAGAAAGTGCTGGTTCTCCGTGGGACAGCCTGGCCCCAGGCCTGCCCGCCCGGGCTTGGGGGAGGCAGGGCTGGGCGGTGAGCAAGGAGAGGGGACCTAGGGCCCGGGTTCAAGTCCGGCTCTGCCACTCCCTCGCCCCAGGCCTTCGGCCAGGTTGGCAAGCCTCCTTCTCCTGTGCTAAATGGGGTCGCTGGGGCCTTCCACGACCTGAGGGGAGGCTCAGTCCTGCCCTGGGAGCCAGTCTGAGGAGGGAGGCACTGCCTGGCCCATGAGCCCTGTCTGAGGGGGGAGGCAGGACCCTGCCCTGGGAGCCAGTCTGAGGGGGAGGCACAGCACTGTCCCCTCCCCTTTCCTGGCAGGTGCCCTGAGCCCGACTGAGATGGAGCAGATCCCGCAGCCAGGTCCAGCTGGCCAGGGCCCAGTGGGCAGGGGCCATGTCCTCATAGTGCCGGCACGGTGCCGGGCTTGGGGCCTAGAAACAGCACCAGTGCCACCATCCTGGCTGGGAGCCTGCACGCTGTCCCCCAGCCCCGCCTGTGGCCCCTGCTCATTACACCCTCCCACATGCAGGCACTTCTCCAGGCAGAACAGCAGGGACATGGGCCCGATCTCCAGGGGCTCAGGGTCAGCGGGGTCCACACGCAGTGGGGACGGGAGCCTGGAGTGTGGCCCTTGAGATCCCGCTCCACTTGGGACCGCTCCATTTTCTTCTGACCGCTTTAGGGTCAGAACAGACCGTGTGACCCTAAAGTCTGTGAGCCTCAGTTCTCTCATCTGTGAAGTGGGCAGAATTAGACCCCTCTCTGAGGTCGCGCTGATGTGTTGTCAAGAGGCAGCATCTGAAGGGTCCTGAGAGGATTTTGGCCGATGAGGGGTGGGAGACAGGACTGAGTCTGAACAAAGGTGGGGGTTAGAGGAGGGCACCCCTTCGGAGAACGGCCGCAGAGGGCGAGTCCTGGTCCCGGGGGCCTGACAGCTGGCGTGCAGCTGTGTGGAGGGGGGAGGCGGGGACCCAGGCTGAGCCCCGTCAGCCCCCAGCAGCCGCCCTTCTCCCCTGCTGGCTTCTAGCTCTGTGGGGCCTCCCCCTGCTCCTCTCTTCCTTCCCTCCTTCCCTCCCGCCTGGCTCAGAGGAAATGGGGCCTCTCAGGAGGGAGGGTGAGGAGTCCCTCCATCCTGCCCAGGCCCTCCCGGCCTCAGTTTCCCCATCTATACAATGGGCACTTCCAGCACTGAAGTGCTCCAAGGCTGGAACACGCCTACACCTCCTGGAGCGTCTTTGCTGCCAGGCAGCGCCGCCCGTGTCCCTGAACCTTCAGGCACAGACCCTGGAGGCTGACTCCAGAGGGGACGGAGGGGTGACGGTGGAACCGTGGGGGCCAGGGGGCTGGGGCGAGACCCCGGCTCAGGGCTTCCTGGGGCAGGAGGCGGCCGTGCAGGCCTCGCCCCTCCTCTGGGGGATGAAGTCCTGCAGTGGCTTGGCCCTGCTCAGTTCCCCAGCCTTACGCTGGGGCTCCCGCAACACTGAACCCCAAGCTCCCCCTGATGATGAGCTCCCCCCGGCTACGGTGACTGGTCCCTGGTGGCCTCAGAACCCAGCCGGCCTCTACCAGCCCCGGGACTCTCGTTGGCTGCTCTTTCTTCCCCAGGGGTCGCCAAGCTGGTGGGATGTGAGATCAAGCTGCTGATGGCCACATTCCTCTAGAAGAAGGCCGCCAGGAGGGAAGCAGGCCCCAGTGAAGAGGAGAGACCGAGTCCTGAGAGGGTGGCTTAAGCACCTGGATCCAGCCCTGCCTGAAGTGGGAGAGATTCTAGGTCTCATCGGTTATACGAAGCCATTATCTCCCTCTTTGGCTTAAGCTACTTTGAGCTGAGTTTCTGTCACTTGTGACTAAAATAATTCTCACTAGACGCTCTTATTCTCCTGCCAGCTCTCTCTGGTCTAGATGCCTTTTCCTTCAGTGAGCCCTCCCTGATTGCCTCAGGTGGATTTGCCACCTCTTCGGGCTCTTGTAGCACTGGGGGCCACTTGTCCCATTCCCCACTAGCCTGTGAGTTCCCGGAGAGGAGAAGCCCGTACAGTCATGTTCGAGAAACGTCAGGCACGTGGGGGAATGGATGTGC